TTGACTTGGTGTTGTCAGCACCACCCTCTCCCAAGTGAGCTAACCGGCCATCCCTATATAGGGATCTGAACCTGTGGCCTTGGTATTATCAGCACCACACTCTCTCAAGTGAGCCACAGGCTGGCCCCGTAGATTTTTTTTTAAATAACTGAATAACCTGAGTGCATCCCTGTGGATTCCATGGTGAGCAAGTCTTAACTAGTATTATGCAAAAATCAAACTAGTGAGTGATCCTATTCTGTAATCAACTAATTATTAGTTATAGGTCAAAAACAAAAGAACAAAAAACATAAACAAAAATCCGTGATAAAACAGTACCTACAATAGTAGTATGCAATCAAATATTTCTTAGTTTTCAGATTAAAAGAAATTCTAACTTGCCTTATTTAGCCTTTGATGATCCAAGAAGAAAAGATTCATTAGAAATAAAGATCACAGAACCATTTGTGTGAGATGGAAGAGATCTTAGAAATTATTCAATGCAAAGCAAGAAATTTCATAACTGAAAAAGGACTAGTCATGAAGCATAAAGAAGTTTCAGTCAATGGAGGGCACATGGGACAGTGGTCCCATAAGACTATAACAGAGCTGAAAAATTCCTATTGCCTAGTGACATTATTGCCATTGAAGAGCAACATCGCAGTACTCATGTGTGTGTGGTGACGCTGGTGTAAACAAACCTACTGTGCTGCCAGTCATACAAGAGTGTAGCACACACAGTCACGACAGTACGTGCACTTTTTTTTCCGTTTGGTTTTTGGCGGCTGGCTGGCATGGGAACCAGAACCCTTGACCTTGGTGTTATAACACTGTGCTCTAATGGTACAAAATACTTGATGACAATTAACAACTGTGTTACAGGTTTACGTGTCTACTATAGTATACTTTTTATCATTGTTTCAGAGTGTATTCTTTCTACTCATATATAAAAAAGTTAACTGTAGAACAGCCTCAGGCAGGTCCTTCAGCAGGCATTCCAGAAGGTGTCGTTACCCTCGGAGAGGACAGCTCCATGTGTGTTATCGTCAATAGACGATCCTGACCCCGGTTAAGCCTGGGCTAACGTGTGTGTGTCCTAGTTTTCAACAAAAAAATTTTAAAAGGAAAAAAATAAATAAATTTATAAAATAGAAAAACAGCTTATAGAATGAGGACATAAAGAAAATATTTTTGTACGGTTGTACAATGTGTGTTTTAAGTTAAGTGTTATTACAAAAGAGTCAAAAAGTTTAAAATTTTTTTAAGTTTATAAAGTAAAAAACTACAGTAAGCTAAGGTTAACTTCTTATTGAAAAATATTTTTATAAACGTCGTGTAGCCTGTGTGCAGTGTCTGGAGTCTAGAGCGGGGCCGGCACTGTGCTGGGCTCCACGCTCACTCTCCACTCACTCACTGATTCCCCCTGCGCAGCCTCCAGTCCTGCAGCCTCCATTCATGGTGAGTGTCCTGTACAGGTGCACCAGTGTGAATCTTTTTTTTTTTTTTTGCAGCTGGTTGGTGTGGGTATACAAACCCTTGACCCTGCTGTTACAACACCACACTCTAACCAACTGAGCTAACTGGCCAGCCCCATTTTTAATCTTTTATACTATATTTTTGCTGTACCTTTTCTATGTTTAGTTATGTTTAGATACATAAATACTTATCCCTGTGTTACAATTACCTACAGTATTTAGTACAGTAACATGCTGTCCAGGTTTGTGGCCTAGGAGCAACAGGCTACACCACATAGCCTAGGTGTGTAGTAGGCTTCACCATCTAAGTTTGTGAGTGCACTCTGATATTTGCACAATGCCGAAATCACCTAAAGACTCATTTCTCAGACTGTATCCCCATCATTAAGCAATACATGACTGTATTTTTTAGAAACCATTTATGATATTTTAATGTATTGGTATTTAATGCATTGATATAAAAATATATTAGAAAATATTTTACACATACACACAGATACAAAAAGCATCTACTGTATTAATCTTTTCCCAGTTTATTAACCTACTCCCAGAGGTAAGTACCATCCCGAATTTTACATTGTCATTTATGTTATCACTTATAATATTATTATTATTATTATTATTATTTGCGCCTGGCCAGTACAGGCATCTGAACTTGTGATCTTGGTGTTATAAGGCTGCACTCTGACTCAGTTAACCCACCAGTCCTCATTCCTGATATTAAGTGATAGTTTCTTTTTTTAAGCTTCCAATAAATATTTGGGTGTGCATGTTCACACTCCTGCTGTGAACTTTCTTATACATGACTCCTTGTCCTTGTACAAAAGTTTCTTCTGAGTGCACTCCTCAGGAGGAATTGCTGCATCATAGAAAATGTGCATGTTCAATGTTACTGAATGACACCATATTGCTCTCTAGAGTAATTGTTCCAATTTACTATATTTTAGGTTATTTAATTAGCACTGAATGACTTTTTTAAAAGTTCATGATTCTAACATAATTAATCATTAGAAAACTTGTTAGCATATGAAAATGTGTTTTCTTTTATTTGTTTATTTATTTTATTTTATTTTTTGTAGCATATGAAAATGTGATCTACAGAAAACCTTTCAGGAACAGTAATATTACCTGTATTACTTTGTACTATCCAATTGTGATTAAAACTTTGCAAAATAATTTGCTAATATTTTTATCATGACTTCATTATACTGTATTGTATTTTCTTCAAATGTGCTATTTAACATTATTCCTGTAGCATATTTTAATATGTTTATACAGTTATGCCTTGCCTGGCAAGATGACTTCCTGATTATTACATGTATATGCCACCACTCAGCTTCTTCCGGACTTTTTTCTTCTTCTTTTTTTTTTAATCTGATATGTTCTGTAGCTAAACAGTGTCTACAACACTGCCATCCCATGCCCGCAAGTTGTAGTACAGGTGTGTGTGACGTGGATAGGAGGGCCATGAGCAGCTCACAGATTTTATTCAATATTAAAATTTTATCTGAAATCTATTTAATATTAAACATCTATGAAATATGAACAGTAGCATAAATTAACTCTTCTAGTCATTCACATTTATTGTACTCGAGTTTCTTTTCCCGTTGAAATAAATTCACGATTACCACTTACATTTAGATACAAATATTTTTTAAACATCTGGTTTCACTTATTATGTTTATTTCAAAATTACTACAAAATATATACAGGCTTTTGACTGGTTTGTCCTTTTAGGTCCCTCGTTTTGGCGACCCCCCACCCCCGTCCTGTCCCGCATAAATTGCAGAATATTTTTACCTCATTATTTCAAAACATCAGAATTATCTTCTCCATCCTTCATCAGAACCATCTCCGGTAGACCTGGGAGAAATTAAACTGGACGTGTCCCAAACCTGCAACCAGTTTCGTACTAATGGAATCTGGGAATATTGAACTTCAAAGGCACATCTGATTGAAGAGCATCAGGACTCTCGTTACTGGATAGAATTATGTTTTTTGAGGGGTTTGATGGCTAAGGGCAGGTATGCTGCTCCAGCAATTGCATCCTGTCTGCTTGGGTGACCAGCTTAGAGGGAGCCTGGAGCTTGGACTGTCAGCATCTGAAGTTTCGGGTTGTGTTTCGGGGTGGACCTTATTGTCCAGCTCCAACCAGCTGCGTCCAAAGATAAATTTTTGGGGCAATACCCCTTGTCTGTTGTAGTCAACAAAAAAGTAGGCGCTGGCCAGTTGCTCAGTTGGTTGGAGCGTGGTGCTGATAACACCAAGGTCCAGGGTCTGACCCCGTACCAGCCAGCACCAAAAAAAAAAAAAAAAAAAAAAAAAAAAAAAAA